GCCCTCCTCCCAGCTTCTCGCCTATTCAAACTTGTTATTTGGTTTGCACCAAAGTCATTGCCCTGTGTATGTGTGTATGGGCTGTGTCAAGAAAACAGAGTTGGGACAATATGAAGAAGGTGGGTACAGTGCTGGCTGCAATGGTGGGGGGTACTTGGCTAGCCCTCTCCATGGGGATTGACTTTCAGCCTCATTAATTTTGCCTTCATTATATTTAGGAAATGGTTTATTAAAGAGTTTTTCCCCTAAATTTCTTGCCTGCATCTCACATTTAAATTAAAAGTTGTATGCAGAATTTTAAGTCTGCGTGTTGTGCATTTATGTCAACATTTATAGATGATACAATACTTGGAGGAAAAAATGATGCAGAGTATCCATTTTTGTAAAGACAGAATTCTAAAATGAAGAAGGTGGGAAATTTGCCAGTAGTATGCTGATATCTGGCTAATAACTCATTGTATGTTGATCTTGACTCAGGCTTTTCCTAGCTTTAATAAATCTGTGATGCACACTGGGGGCAGTTGCGGGGGGTAGGGGAGGGACAGCGGGGGGGGGAGGGTGGGGAGGGATGACATGGGGAGAAATGCTGGATATAGTATAGACCTAAAGTAAAATTAAAAATAAATAAATAAATAAATAAATCTGTGATGCTTGCAGGATCTAGCCAAACTGGTACATATGATTTGTAATTCTGAAATCATTGTTACTTCCTCTGAGAAGCCATGTCTGTGCATGTAAGTATGTTACGGTGGGGCACCATCATCAGACTTTTTTCATTTAATACATCATGATTAAAATGGAATAACAACGTTTTTCTTCATAGAACAAATCATCTGTTGGGTTCCTTGATTTAACATTTAACTTTTAGCAGTCTAGCAGATCAGTGAGATTATGTATTTGAAAAGTAATCCAGTTATAATTGTATTTGAGAGAGAATATTTAGGAGTTTTTTTTCCATATAAATCCATATGTATTTGACGAAGCAAGTCATTCTGCAAACAGCTGTTTCTCTTAAGATACTGTGGCTGACAAAGGTTAATTTGCAGCCTCCCAGGTTCCTTTTCTTATTCTGATGTATGGTAGGGCTTTCTCTCATGAACATAAAGTACATTTCCCAGGGTTTTTCTACCACCCAGTGCATGGGAAGTCTTGTGTCTGACAGACTGTGACTCTCATAACTCCCTAGACATAGGTGGGATTTGAATCTCTACAATTATACTTTTTTCTCTTAGTCAAAGGCTTTGTATTCATTTGGGAAAAGCCTGAAGGTAGGAAAAAGGCAATACATTGAATTTGGGAGGCTTTATAAATGTTCTACAATGTATCACTTTGTCTGTCATCAACTTCTTGATGCAGATGTACTTCAGAAATGTCATCGGCTATTTTCACCCTCTGCTTGCTGCTTTTTGAGTGCATTTTTAAAAGACAGTCGATGGGAAAGGGGAGCTGGAAGATTCATATGATTCATAGGTGTACTAGCACTTATTTCAGCAGATAATTGCTTTCCTATTGAATCACTTTGCTATTTTCTTTACTCAGTAACACAGTGAAAGACCAGTTGAGAATGACATGTTTTTTAAGCCCAAAAGGAAATGGAAAAGGAGGGAAATTGAGGCAAGCATAAATGAGCTTGCACTCTAGTCTCTTCAACGTTTCTTTAATCTTGAGTGTATATGGGAGGGGGAGAGAGTTGATTTCCATGTCTTCACTCCCCTTAGCTGCTGGTTTTAGTACATAGCCTGCTCTGCCAGAGGGTGGCGACTGTCATAGGTACATTTACAGAGCCGTTTAAGACAGGGCCTGATACTTTGCACTGGTGTGTGCTAATTCTGAACCTATGGGTCTAGATTGGAAGAAGGAGGGCTTGGGACACCACTGACTTGGCTAGGGAAAACTGAAGGGTGATTTTTCAGAGCCAACATGGCTGCTGGGCTATCGCACCAAACTGTTATAGACCCAGTGTGACAGGGTACCTTGTGGCCCACTCAGAGTGCTTAGGTGGCCTACGGAAATCATTGGAACCTTCCTAGTACAGAGTTATTGATTTTCCAAAGGACAAAAACAATAGATGATTACCTACTTGACTGGGACAGTCCCTCCCTAATCCCCACTCCATCTCAAACTTACATGCTTTACCAAAGCCTTAATTCTATACCACGGATTAAAAAACAAGTGTTAACAGATGTCAAAAACCAAGTTTGTTCTCTCCCAAACACCAATTAAAGTATTTTGGCCTATAATTAAGTTTGGGCCTCTTGAAGAATGAACACTATGTAGAGGAGATTTATTATCACCAAGTGTTGTGCGTATAAATATATTATCCTGAGTTCTAAAGTTGTCTTGGAAAAAAACGGGCATAGTTTTCTTTTGAAATGTTGTATTCCACAGATAACATAGATATTAAATTACTTGGTCTCCTCATCTATTGTTTGGATAGAGAATGCAGATTTTTATTTTATTTTATAAGCTTTCTTGAACATAAACAGCAGTTTCTGGTAAGGTGATGTTACTATGCATTTGCATTGTTATATAATTAAATTATGGATTCTGTCATTCAAAATAGAAGCTTTATAAATTGAGTAAAATCTCATAACTAAGATGAATAAGTTTATTTAAATCTCATGCTGCCTTATATTCTGTAGTTTAGTTTTATAGCGCAACTTGATATAATTTTTTAAAGTGTAATTCTTTTTTCTATTTCTGTGTACTGTTTTTGCTCTGCTAAACTGTCGTTGTTTTCTAAGAAAAAGCTTAAGATAAGTTACTTTATGTGAAGGATATAAAAGCACAAAGGCATGTTCACTTCTTTATCGGTATATTGGCAGGAAATGTGCCAAATACAGTGTGTTCTCTCCCTCCCTTCTTCTCCCTCTGATTACATTCAGTGTAGATGATATTAAAACTAAATTGTAACAAATGGTGAAATTCCAATTATTCTTTTTTCTTTCTTTTCTTTAACTTATCTAATATTTGGAATTCCTGAATATGAAAGACACTCTTCATTATATAGCTTTTTTTTTGCAGTGGAGTTACAAATTGTATTCTATGCTTGTGTAGGCTAATTGTCTAAACAAGCTATCTGGGTGGCTCTGCAATCCTTAAGCAATGCTGCTCAGCAGCTGCCTAATTTCTTTTCTCACTACTGCTGTCAAACTACCCCAACACATAGGAATTTGAGTGGTGGCCCTAACTGGAGTATGCAGCAAGATGAAAAATAGTCAAAGGAGAAGGAGGGTCAGGAGTAAGTTATTTAGACCCGGTTAGGCGTCAGGGTCTCCAAATGCAGCTGCAATTGATAATAAAAAGGACTGAAATTCGGAAAAGCGGTCAGTGGTAGAGATAGAGATTTAAGATCCAAGCAATTGTAGAAGTGTTTGGAACTTTGAAAAAGCTTAGTTTCTCCGGGGAAAAGAAGTTAGAGAGGAGAGCAAGAGGATTTAGAACTGGGCCTTGGGGAAATCTTTAATGTCAGGGTGTGGGAAGAGGAAGAGAAACCCTGAAGTAGAAGTGTAAACTACCATGTTTGGCTGTGGAAGTCACCAAGTGCCACTGCCTCCATCAGCTGTTAATTCTGAGCCTGATCACCTGAGTTTTGTAGATGGAGAGTGGAGAATCTAGGAACTAAAGATCCTTGCCAATTTCTGTCTTGCTTCACCTTGGTGGGTGTAAAAAGAAGCTAATGGTTTCTCTCGGGGGTATGTTTATGGGGAAAATAGCCCTATTACTGTGATTTAGCACACACAGGGTTCTCCTTACACTCATTATATATGTTGAAATTGCACAGGTATTCCTAGGCTACTTTTAAGAATTTAGGGGGATTAGGTTAATACGATTCTTAACTCATACTACCAATAAATTATTATTTATCCAAGATTTGCATAGAAATATAAAAGTACATAAAACTAAGATATTTGATTTTATAAATCATTTTAATTTAATTTAATGTAAATTGAGCATTGGGAAAAACGAAAAGACGAACTCCACAGGAGACGATGGACACTTTTAATTTCTCACACTGACTTTTAAGTTATACTCAGCTTCTTGCCAGAGGAGTTAAAACAATAGAGCCACCTTGTCCTAGTGATCTAATATTTAAAAAGAGCAGTTGCAGTACATCTAGGTTTGCATTATATGTAGCTCTAGAAAAGTTTTGAAGGTCATGTCTTGATTCTCAATGAAATTATAGGAATGTTTTAATAACAAGATAACTAAACAATGAAGAAGTGATTGCATAAACTATGTAGGCATCATAAATAAGGAAGACACATAGCATGTGTTGAATGAAAACAGTTGGTGAACAAACTCATTTTTCTCTTGGGAATTCAGGTGGCCTAGCAGCTTGCACTCCTCCATCCAAAAAAATGTTGCCCTTTTGCTCCCCACCTCCCCCTCCCCCAATAACCTCATGTACTGTAAAGAATCTTAGCATCTGTGGGAAACAGAATTGTTTGCAGTTGTGCTTCCTTAAAAGGTTTATGGTGGACCTGGTAATCCAAATAAGAGAGACTCATTAGCTTCTTTGTATAGTGCTCATGAGTAAAACACAGTAATGGGTCACATTGTGACAATGTGATCAACAACTAGTCCAGCAACATCCTTTGCTGCTACATAGTAAACATCATAATTAGCAGCAATGCCAGCATTTAGGTGACACCAAAAGCATGTTTGGTTCCACAGAACTGACATACTATCCTGTCTTGAAAGTGCTTAACATCAATAAAAAACATTCAATTTGCTGAGAATCCAAAATACACTTTGGTCTCCATCATGCAAGTGATCTAGGGCCATTATCTCCGGAACCTAAGGAACAAAATGGCTGCCAAGCATAGGGATTTATTATTTCATTAACAGACTGTCAGTGAATTTCAGGGTGTTTCTCGCCTTATATGGATTCAAGAAGAAGAGTTTTGGAGCTTAGATCGTCCCCAGATAATGGAGTTCAAAATTTATCTATTTGTGGATAGTTTTAATTAAATGTTTTCCCTATTCTTCATTGTTAGGGTCGGTGCACTCGAGAGAACTGCAAGTACCTTCACCCTCCTCCACACTTAAAAACGCAGCTGGAAATTAATGGGCGGAACAATCTGATTCAACAGAAGACTGTCGCAGCCATGTTCGCCCAGCAGATGCAGCTTATGCTCCAGAACGCTCAAATGTCATCACTTGTAAGTTGCAGCTATCTTTTGAAAATTGCCAATAAATATCTACAGTGGAATAACCTGGCAGGGACTTGAGGAAGTTAGTTGCAACAGGATTTAGGACACAAACTAATGTGTTCATTGACAGTGCAGAGCTGTGCACATGAAGAGAGCAGTCAGGTGTGTTGCATTGAAAACCTGGCTGCATTTATGCATGAGTTCAGTTCATAAGAGAATATGGACAAAGGAGCAGGGACATTTTAAGATAAGAAGAGCTTTTATTATTACATGGAAACCTTTGAATTCTAGGACATTAATTCAAACAGATTTTCTTGTTTGATGGGGATTTTGTTGTTTTTTATTTCTTTTTGAGACAGAATTTCACTCTTGTCGTCCAGGCTGGAGTGCAATGGTGCAATCTAGGCCCACTGCAACCTCTGCCTCCCAAGTTCAAACAATTTTCCCTCCTCAGCCTCCTAAGTATCTGGTATTACAGGTGCCTGCCATCACGTCCAGCTAAATTTTTTGTGTATTTTTAGTAGAGACGGGGTTTCACCATGTTGGCCAGGCTGGTCTCGAACTGCTGACCTCAGGTGACCCACCTGTCTCAGCTTCCCAAAGTGCTGGAATTACAGGTGTGAGCCATTGCACCTGGCCTGTTGTTGCTTTTAAATAAACTTTCTATTTTGAAATAATTTTATATTTACAGAAAAGTTGCAAACACATTAATAGTACAAAGAGTTCCTGTATTACCCTTCACCCAGTTTTCCCCACTGTTAACGTCTTATATTACTGTGGTAGATTTGTCAAAAGCAAGAAACTGGAATTGCACGTCATTACTATTAACTAAACTCCAGACTTTAGTCAGATTTCCCCAGGTTTTCTATTAATGTAATCCTTCTATTCCAATGTCTGATTTAGGGTACCATGGTGCATTCATTTGAATTTTAGCTCCCCTCTCTTCTCTGCCCTATCACCATTTCTCAGTTTTTCCCAATTTCTCATGATCTTGATGGCGGCTTTCCCTTATCCTAGCTGCAGGATTTCCCTATGCAAAAATTAATAAGATTATGTGTCATTCTAGACAAGTATCTATTATTTTTGTGGACTTGTGAATTTAAATGGATCCTTTAGAAATTAATTAAGCTATATCTTTTCCTATTGTTTTATTGAAAATCCACTCTTGTCCCTATGCCTTAAAATATAAACTTTCATTTTGCTTTTACATCTCTTAGGGGGAATTGAAAACTGTCCCTTTTCTGCCATAGTTCTTCAAGCCTCACATTTAACTCAGTGGTGCCTCATTCTAATTCCAGCTGGCCTACTTCCTTTAAAGTATTAACAGGATAAATTTGAAAAGCCTATGTTACCTTTATTTGTTACACACTTAATCAGTGACTACAATGAACATATTGAAAGCTGAAATATGTATGTAGTATTTAGATGCAATGAAAATGTGGGAGTAGGACAGTCTGCTATCAGTAAAGCCCATCTCATTAGAAAGTTGATTCTCAGAATTCAAGGATATGGCACACTTTCATGAATACATCTTTATGGATAAATGCAAAAACAGGTGGGAGAGGCAAGGATGAATCACGAAAGGTTTGTACCATGATACTCTTTTTCCAGAATGTCTAGACAGATTTAAGTAAAATAAATAGATTTCATGTTCTGTACTATTTGTTTACCAAAAAGATTTGCCTTGGAACTCAATGGTGATTAATTATGTTGGTAAATTAGTTCCTAGAAGGTAAGCTCCTCAAAGCTCCTCTTTGACCCTCAGTAATTCTTTACATTGTTGAAGTCCTTGCACAAACTCTTTCTCTGGGCTTTCACGTACTGATGTATCCCAGTCCCTCCCTACTTCTAAGGGCAGAGGGAAGATAAAGTCTTTTGGATACTGAAAATTGTTATGAATAAAATCATAGAGAAGTAAATGTGCTTGGTAAGTACAGAAAATGTGAATGAGCAGGGAATAAAGCAAGGCAGCTTTTATTTTTTTTCCCAAGCTTTACTGAGATACGGTTAGCCAATAAAATTGTATATATTTTAAAGTGTACAGCATGTTGATTTGTTAGATGTATACATTGTGAAATGAGATGGCATGGATGAACCTGGCAGGCATTAAGCCAAGTGAAATAAGGCAGACACAGAAAAACCAAATACTATATGATCTCACTCATATGTGGAATCTTGGAAAAAACTGAATGCATAGAAACAGAGAGTCGAAAGGTGGTTGCCAGGGAATGTGGGTGGAAGGGGATGGGGGAGGATGTTGGTCAAAGGTATGGCAAGGGAGATTTTAACTCACAGTTGCTACTCTCAGCTTCTCATGGGATGTCTCAATTTCAAACTAAGCAAAGAATAGGATGCAGATTTCATTATCAGACACCTGAGCCCAGTGTTTCCTACAGAGCTGGAACACTTATCTTTTTAAAGGTCAAGGGACAGCTTCAGAGTACTAGTGAAATGCCTTGTTTCAGGGGATCAGAGAGCAAGAAGTGGAGTAAAGTAGGGATACTGAGGGAAGCCGTTCTATTCAGCCTCTGCTAGAGTCTCTCCATTCCAAGTCTCACTCTTCACATGTTATTGATCAATCATGCTGGCTCACACTGGAGAATAGGGAGTAACTTTTTTGAAAATCCAATAAGAAATCCATTTTGCTTTCCAGCCTTTCTTCACTTGTGCTTTCTAATTTGATTCTCCATGCTTTCTATGTTATAATATGTTTCCTGATCTTTTCTTCGATGAGGGTAATTTCAGACTTCAGATGAGAGAAGATGACTGATATGATTCACAGGAGTACAATTCACTTTATAGCATATTACAAGTTACAAGGCATTACTTAGAAGACCCAAGGCAACAATTGGAAATTGCTTCTCTACCTTGTAGGTTATTTAATGATAGCTGTTATGATGCGATGAGCTGATAAATGATTAATTCCTGCAGCTATTATGTGTACAAAAATCTAACCCCAAGATGGTTGTTATGTTCCTCTTCTATGATCTAAGGAAGCCACTTTGTAAGCATGGTATGATTGAGCTAGTGTGAGCAATTTTAAGTATCATTTACCAGTCTGATTTGGAAAAAATTTTCTTTATTGTGGATCCTGATATTATTACAGAAGTAATGTATCATTTTACTTAATTTCTCTGGTACCTACTCTCCCCAAAACAACTCTCTATCCCTTTTAATCACCCCCACTCAATAATCTGATTCTTGTCTTTAAAATAGTCAAGCTTTTGTTTAAGAAATTTCCAGTGATGATATTTGTAGGGCTGCATATTAAAACCCATTTGTATCACTGGCTTGAACTTCATGTCTTTCCACAAAGAATACTTTGATCTGTTTCTAGGATACCAGAAGAGCACATTTGCCTTGGCAAAATTGAATATGGTTTGCTTATTATAAGTCCCTAGATAAAGGGAATGTCAACCTAAATGCGATGGTAGCTACAGAACAGATACTGTTAAGTGTGAGTGAACAATGAATAAAAGCCACACCTAGTCAATTTGGGTGGAATGCTGACTGGAGCAGGCAAGTTGGTTCACTCTATTAAACAGGTCTGAATTGACATTTGCCAGTATAAAAGTCCACCTCTGAAAGCTTTTTGTTGGCTTTATTAAGGAAGTTCAGCAGGTGAAACAAAAGGTGTGACCCTCTACTGTTTTTCAATGCAGTTTGAGAGAGATTGTTTCTGATGTTCCCAACAAAAAAGTAGAAGTTGAAGTATCCCCTTGGCATAATCAGAAGGGAAATACAACCACTGTGGAAGAATGTTAGAAAGAGTAGACCCTGAAGCAAAGCTAATGTTTTAAAATTTCGGCTTTACAATTAGGAATTTTAGTTATGAGGAAAGATTCTCACTACTGGATGTGGTGTATGTTTTTATAAAGTGAATATGATACTATAGGCTGTTGAAATGTTTTTATTTGGATGTTTTGCATATCTATACCTGTCCATATCCAAACTAAAGGAATACTTGGGAAATTTCTTTAGTTTCTCTCTTTGAATATGGTGATTCACATGGAAACAGATCCTGACACACAGGTGAACTTGACCCAGTAGAGTGTATTCATTTGATTATTTATATAGGGATTGTTAACTAAGCACATTTGAAGTTGCACTGGGGTGTGCCAAGTAATCAGGTTCTGTTGTATGCTATTTATGGCCAGTATTCCTGTTGCCAAGTTACCGAGTTCCAAACCATGAAGGCCATAAACAAGGGTTCCTCTCCAGGTTTTTCTTTATCTCAAATTGAATCATCTGATGTCTGCCTGGATCCCTCTCCACCTTTCTACATCATTTTTATAATTCTGTTTGCCAAATGTATTTCTCATAAACAGGCTTGTATGTTTAGCTAACATTAATATAGTAAGGGACGAAGGTGATGTAACACTTCAGAACCAAGAGAAAAAAATAGAAAGTTCAAGTAGATAGTAGGAATGGAGATATACCAATTAATGAATAATGAATAATATTGTTTTTAATGTTTCTTTTTCTCTTTTACTAAAGGGCTACAAGGTATTATAGTACTTAGGTTTATATTACTTATAAACTTAGTGACTAAAGATAAAATTGGAAAATATTTATTTATTTTGAGACACGATGTCACTCTGTGGCCCAGGCTAGGGTGCAGTGGCATGATCATCGCTCAGTGTCGCCGCAAACTTCTGGGGTCAAGCCATCATCCTGCCCCAGCCTCCTGAGTAGCTGAGGCTACAGGTACACATCACCATGCCCAGATAATGTTTTTTTTTTAAAAAATTTTGGCCAGGCAGAGTGGCTTATGCCTGTAATCCCAACACTTGGGGAAACTGAGGTGGGCAGATCAGGAGGTCAAGAGATAGAGACCAGCCTGGCCAACATAGTGAAATCCATCTCTACTAAAAATACAAAAATTAGCTGGGCATGGTGGTGTGTACCTGTAGTCCCAGTGGGAGGCAGAGGCAGGAGAATCGCTTGATCCCGGGAGATGGAGGTTGCAGTGAGCCAAGATAGCACCACTGCACTCCAGCCTTGCAACA